TCAATTAAATATCCTAGGGGTATCATTGAGGATATGCTTGTAAAAGTGGACAAATTTATTTTTCCTGTTGATTTTGTGATTCTTGATATGGACGAAGACACTGATGTCCCCTGATCTTAGGTCGTCCATTTTTAGCTACTACAGGGGCTATAATTGATGTGAGGGATGGAAAGTTAGCTTTGAGAGTTGGAAATGAAAAAGTCACTTTCAAAATTCCTGATGTAATAAAAGTCTTTGAAACAAGATGATTCTTGCTACTTTATTAATGTAATTGATGATTGTGTTTCTGATTGTGCACATGAATTCTTAATTTTAAACTCATTGGAAAGAAGCTTAGTTCATGAAGGAGGAAAATATGATATGAGCTTGCTAACTCAAGAACAGTGGTGTCATTTAGAAGCCACTAAGCCATTATGGTGAAAAAGGGACTTCAAAGTTTTGGAGTGGAAATCAGAGAAGCAACCCAACCCATCCATCAATGAACCACCAAATGTAGAATTGAAGGTCTACCATGATAAAAAATTCAAAGGAGGTAAACTATTTCAAAAAGGTGATTTAGTACTGTTGTATAATTCTCGCCTCAAATTATTTCCAGGTAAACTCAAATCCTGTTGGTTCGACTTTGTTTTCTCTCTCCTATGAAACAGGTAATTTAAGCAGAAAAACAAGCGTTTGATTAGTACCAGAAACTAAAAATCTGCATAACTATGAATCAGAAATTAAATCTAGTAACTCAAGATAAAAAAAAATTATATTCTAATTGAATGCAATCACTGAATTACAGGCTTCCTTTCCAACCACAAGCTCAGAGAACCAAACCAATTACAAGTTCTTATCAAAAGAAAGAAATACACACATGTGATTTAGAAATGAACGCACAAATTAACTAAAAATCATTTCAAGAAATCTCATCAGGATTACAATGTGAATAGTAAGAAGAAGAATCATAAATCAACACATCAAAAAGCTTAATTCTCATTAGCTTAATACAGAGCAATTGCAAGGATTAAGTAGAAAAACATGATTTATACTATTTCTACGTAATATTGAAGTCACACTGATTCTATAAAAATTCTCAACAAATCTACATACTTCCAAAGACTTCTTCAAGTGCCAAGTCTTCTACTTCCTCCAAGTAATCGTAGTATTCTTTTAAAGATGAGAAATCATGTTCACGTTTATTTTATCTATAAATTTACAATTGAAGTAGCATAATTAGACAATTAAATGAATTTTATATAACATGACCCTAGACAGTGAGAACTGAAATGCTAAAATAAAACCATGATCACCATACATTTTTTCTTTTTAAAATGTTTGTAATAAATGCCTTCAAAGTAATGACAAAATCCATATTCTTAATATATCTTTTCAATTATGTACTCAAAAAAAAGTTTATTTTATGACTGGGAGGCTTAGATCTTGGAAGAAAGACAAATTATATACAGATATTTAAATAAAGGGTCACAATAAGTATTATTCAAAGTTTCTATCTATACTCTTGAATTAAGAGCTAGCTCAGAGATTTTACTGTCACAATGAAAAGAAGCTCAGTAGTTTTGTTAGACCAAGAAAAAATGATATGTTTTAAATATAAAAAGCAATCAACTTAAAAAAAAAAAAGTTATGTATTGTACTTGTAACCTATTGCAAAGGATAAAAGAAAGAAATAATTGCGTTTCATAGTTGTAATTTTCCCTAAATATAAAAGAAGCTGAATCTACAAATTAATTAAACATTAGAAATTTTTTCTTTATAAACTACATTTGTTCTCTTGGGAGTGAAAACTGACTGTCGTTGACTTTTGTTAATATTCATTTCAAAACACAAACGAATAGGAAATTGGATAGACGTCACTTTATCAATCATGCTCATTAGTTCAAGTCAGCTAATCCTATAAACGGGCCAAGACTTGTGTGCTACAAAGCAACGTGTGATGTACATTAATTCAAAGTCAAGAAAAATATCAGCATAAAAGTACATGAAAAAATATGACAGGAAATTCACACTTACACAAAACACTTCAGTTTCATTTCTTTATGTGAAATATGGCAGTAAAGTGCAGTCATGTGATAAACTCCATTGACCATACTAAACACACAAAAAGAAAAAGAAAGAAATAACTAATGAAATACTACACACTAATTATCTATTATTTTTCCTAAAAAATAACAGGTAATTTATTACACGGATTATTGTAGCATAAATTAAAAGCATCTGTATTATTCTTTTATTACAAGTTGAGAATAAGAGAGATATATCATGCACATGCAAGGAAGATACAATATGAAAAGAGGGAAAATAGTTACATGCTAGCAATCCTCCTTCTGATGGCTATCTCCTTATTGTGAGCATTGGTACTGGAGACTACCATTTTACTGCTATCAACTTCTCCTTCCCTCTTTGCTTCTTCTCACAAGAATTTTAAGCATTACAAGAGTTACAACTGAAATAAGAAATACTTTTTTTCTGTTTATGAATCGTGAAGCTCAGTGATGTATAAATGCAACGAAAGCATACTCAAGAAAATAATATATAATAAATCTTAACTCTAAGTAGAAAAGATCCTAGCTACTTAAGAAAAAAGAGAGTGCAATTCACCAATAATTAAATCTGGCCACACAATCCCAAACAATGCCCCAATTCCCATGGATTCTATTGCCTTCTAAAAGCAAATTTGAAATGTTCAAAAGCTGAAGAGGAAATCTTTGGAATTGAGATAATCAAATTCACATGAGAATGAGGATAAGAGAGAGGATAGAAGAATTACCTTTTAAGGGGAGGACATATTTACAAATATTTAAATTAAAAGGATCAAAGTTAATGAAAAATGTTGAATAATGACTTTTTATTTTGTTTTATTTATTTATTTGTTAATGTAAATCTTTATTATAATAATTTTATTTGTTTTCAATTTTTTAAAAATAGTTTTTTTAAAATAAAATAAAATAAAATAAAATAAAATTTATTTGTAACATAAGTTTTATTTTCATTTTTTCTTAAAAACAATTTTTTAAAATTGTTTTAAAATATAATTTCTAAAAATTAAAAGAAAACCATAAACGAACAAGCCCATATATAAAGTGAATATGTGAAAAATAAAATTTTGGAAGAGAATTCTTTTTCCTTCTTTATCTGCTAATGTTATCCCATAAGTGAAGTTTTTACTAATTTTTTCGTAACAATTTTTTTTACTAATTATTTTACCAACTTAATTTCGTCACTCAAATTTAAAGTATAAATACCAAGTCTGTAAATATGTATATACGTTGGAAGGAAGAGAAGAAATAGAAGGAAAAATAAAGACTAAAAGTAAACATAAAACGAGCTATATTAAAAATGCCAATAAATTTAGATTTTATAATGAAAAAAAAAATTGGCAAAAAATTGAGATTAATTTGGTGCATGAAATTTCAATTGTCATTTAGAATTTTAGTTTTAAATATTACAATTAGAATCATAATTTTTATGTTTAAATTGCATAATAATTAGTGTAAATTATAATTTTAAACTAAATTTTCATTTCATTTTAATATCTTGGATTAAGGATATACATTCCATAAAATTAAACATTAGACTTGTAATTTTAATTCAAAAAAAAAAACTTACGAATACCATCATTAAAATTCTAAAGTTTAATTCCAATATCATACCTCAATTGCATGCAAAGGACATTTTTAATATGAAAATATCAACAGCTGTAAATTCACTATTTTTCTCACGGCTACATTAAGTTATTGAAGTTTAAAATATGCTATTTCTGTAACAATTCTTTATAACAAAACATAATAATAATTTTTTCTCTCTTTCTCTTTACTATATTACCCATTTAATCATTCCCTTCTTTGTCTTATCTTTCTATCTCTCTCTTTTGTAAGAACAAAACAATAATTTTGCTTTAATAATAAATAACATTATTCTTAAATTTTTATTTTAATCTTATGTGGTTTATATTATTTATAAGTATCATTGATTAATTTTAAAATTCGGTCTAATTATCATCTTAATATCTAAGTAGAATCAACTAGAATGCTTAGTATATTTAATATTTAATTTATTAATAGTCATTATAAATTATTAATTTCATATTACCATGACATTCTTCAAAATATTTTTTTCATATATACATTATGTTGTAAGTGAAAACAAATTTAAAGTATTTAGAGTGGAAAAGTTTACGCATTTTGAATATTTTCTAATTTAATTGGTAAGTTTTAGAATGTGTTTAAATGAAATATTTCAAGTGAGTAATTTATTTTTTGAAATAATTTATAATTTTATGGGTTAAATCAGTTTAGAATCATAATTTTTATTTTTAGATTGTGTAAATAATTACCGTAAGGACCTCTTGGTAGTCTATTTAGTGGTACATGAATACATTATCTATATGGGCGTACCAATGCAAATAAAATTCTGTATCTATAATTACAAGCGCAGCAAAATTCTGAATTGGTATTCTAGTCAAAAGATCTCTAGTTTATAAGGTCATGTTTTAGCTAAAATTGTCACCTATTTGCTGAGACTCAAGCCATTAGGAAATTAAATCTTTAGCAAATGAAAATTGACAAATATTTTTAGTAAGAATATACAAGCTAAGGCTTCAACCTCCTGTTTCAGCCCATAGTTGTTCTGTTTCCTCATCATCACCGTTGAATGCCAGCATGTAAAAGTTCTTAAAGAAATAACTAGGCTTCAAGTAAAAGTTTTGTGGGTTCTTATAGCATTTGATAAGAGAGGCTTCAAAGACCAACATTCGATAGAAGGCAACCTCTTCAGCCATAGACTACTACTTTTTGGCATTCCATCTGCTGCAAAATCCTCCTATACTTCACTTCCATTCTTAACATCCTAGATCTAGATAAGTAATGATAATATCAGTTCATTTTGTCTTTCTTATCCACATTGTTATCTTTTTTGTTTTCATAATAAAAAATCTAATTTTATATATTTATTTATCTGGGATTGGAAAGATTTATATTTTTTCTCCTGTCAACATAGAAAGCCAAAAGAATTCCCATATATTTAGGGATAAACAAATAATGATTTCACATATGAAATCAAGAAAATAGTTGTATAAAGAAAATGTAAACAATATTAAAATATAGATCAAGCTCATTTAACCTCTCACTGACAACTAAGAATATTAAAAATATTCTTACAAACATAATAGCAACCATAACTGCACACAATACCCTATGACAGTAACTAAGCATATGGTCCTATATGTTCCATGATTAGACCTGTCAGCAACGAAACAGCATGTTCTTTGCAAACTTCCTCTTTGTTAGCATTGCTTCATTTAGTTTCGAGTTGTGCCACTTCCTACACCCTTTCCTACTTGAATGGAAAACATTTAAGTAATTTGTAAGTTAATTATGAGCATTTTGATTTTTTGCTTCGACAGTCTCATCCTTGTTCTAATTTGTTGGTGTAGCAAACAGCTGCTAAACAGAGTGAACCTTTTTATTCACCAAAATTGTCCTGTTCAATTTTTACTCTTCCTCTAACTCTTCAAGACTCCTAGGTGATCCAGAGCATGAGATTCCCACCTAATGGGATCAAGAGAGCATAAATATACATAGAATTACCCTATCATGTTAGGATCAGAGTACCAGTATAATAACACACAACTAAAATAAAGATGAGAAAAATAAGAGCCAATAAAAACAATATAAAATTATCACAGAAGAAAATTACATTACTCATTCTCTATTAAAATTCACTCTTCAAAATAAGAAACTACCACTACTAAATACAAGTTAGTGTAGTACAAGAGTGAAAGGAAGAGAAGATTTGGGAATGATATGAATTGGTGGACCCCTAGCCCTTATATAGACAAAGAAGGGGTCCTACCTTTGAAGTTCCCACCTATGTGGGACTTCTTACATAACAATTCTCCCACTTGAAGATTATGATTAAGTTAATCATATCTTCACACATTACAGTTATATTCTAATAGGCCATACAAGGATCGACACCATGTAAACTTGTCAATGTTGACTGGCTTTGTCATTATGTCTGCTATGTTGTCTTTGGTATGAATCTTCTACATATCCACTCTTCCTTCCTCTACTACTTCACGAATAAAATGATATTGTATGTCTATGTGCTTTGTTCTGGAATGAAAGGCTAGATTCTTTGCAATATGCAAAGCACTTTGACTGTCACAATACACAGTAGTAGTCTGCTGTTTGTGCCCAAGTTCCTCCAATAGCCTTTAAATCCAGATTGCTTCCTTGCATGCCTCAGTAGCTGTCATGTATTCAGCTTCTGTAGTAGACAAAGTCACAACAGTCTGCAACTTAGATAACCAGCTTACTGTCCCTCCAGCAAGTGTAAACACATAACCAGTAGTAGATTTCCTTTTATCCAGATCTCCTGCAAAATCTGAATCAACATAGACTTTCACAATAAATTCTTATCCTTCAAAACATAATGCAACATTAGAGGTTCCTTTTATGTATCTAAGGATCCTCTTTGCAATATTCCAATGCTCTCTACCAGGATCTGCCATAAACCTACTGACTGCTCCCACTGCTTGTGCAATGTCTGGTCTAGTACAAATCATGGCATACATAAGACTTCCCACTGCTGATGCATACGACACTCGAGACATTTCCATCCTCTCTGCTTCATTACTAGGCTTCATACTTGAGGATAATTTGCAATTGACAAGAAGTGGGATATAAATTAGCTTACAGTCTTGCATGTTGAAGTACAGCAAGACTTTTAGTAAATAATTCTTCTGAGAAAGCCAAATCTTCCTATATTTTCTGTCTCGGTTAATTTGCATCCCTAAAATCTTGTTTGTTGATCCCAAATCCTTCATATCAAACTCCCTAGCCAATTGTGCCTTTAATTCTTAGATCTAATCTTTATTGGGGCCTATCACCAACATGTCATCCATATACAACAACAAAATGATGAAATCATTTTCATCAAACCTATTGTAATACATACAATGGTCTGACTTTAGTCTGTTGTAACCAAGGCTAATAATGAAGGAATCAAATCTCTTGTACCAACATCTCGACGCCTGTTTTAAACCGTACAGAGATTTGGTCAATCTGCAAACTAAGTTTTCTTTTCCTTGTTCTTTAAAACCTTTTGGTTGGAGCATATATATTTCCTCTTCAAGTTCTCCATGGAGAAAAGCAGTTTTTACATCAAGTTGCTCAAGATGTAAATCAAATGCAGTAGACATTGCGAGAACAATTCTGATTGTGGTTAATCGGACTACTGGAGAGAATATCTCATTAAAATCAATGCCTTCTTTCTGAGCATATCCTTTAACCACTAATCTTGCACGATACCGCTCCACTTGATCATTACCATCTCGTTTGATTTTGTAGACCCATTTACAACCAATGGCTTTTCGATCTTTTGGAAGCTCAACAAGTTCCCATGTCTTGTTTTTATGTAAGGTCTCAATTTTTTTCTGCATTGCTGTCATCCATAAAGAAGCATCTGAACTCGTCAAAGCCTCATGAAAGGTTGACGGTTCATCCTCTTCATTTAGAAGACAATATGCATCATAGCTTGTCATAACATAGTCTGAGTGCCAAGATGGTCTCCTTATCTCACGTCTTGTTTGTTGAGCTTCTCCATCATTGGTATCATTTGGTTCTTGTTCTCCGTGCTCTTGTTCTACTTCAGAGGTGTCATCTTCTTTAGACTTCCTTTCTATCACTACTGAAGTAGTGTCTTTGGTAGTACTGTCATTTTTCTGCTCCGTTTGCAGTTCATTTTCTTCAAAGACTACATCTCTGCTAACAACAACCTTGCGGGCAGTGGGATCCCACAAGCGATACCCCTTAACATTGTCAGCATAACCCAAGAATATACATTTTTTGGATTTTGGATCCAATTTTGTTCTTTCTTGGGAATTGTACATCACGTATACAGGACATCCAAACACATGTAATGAAGAATAATTAGGTGGCTTTCCATTCCATACCTCCATTGGGGTCTTCAAACCAATTGTTGTTGATGGTGATCGGTTTATCACATAACAGGAAATTTTCACTGCTTCTGCCAAGAAAGATTTGGCCACTCCTGCTGTTCCTAGCATAGTTCTTGTTCTTTCTAGAAGAGTTCTGTTAATCCGCTCTGCTACACCATTCTGCTAAGTTGTATAAGGCACTGTGAATTGCCTTGAAATACCCTCTTGCTTACAGAATGCCAGAAAATCACCATCTACATATTCTCCTCCATTGTCTGTCCTTAAGCACTTAATTCTTTTCCCAATTTCAAGTTCTACTAGTGCTTTGAATTCCTTGAACACTGGAAACACATCTGACTTCTTCTTGATTGGGTACACCCACAATCTCCTTGAGTGATCATCAATAAATGATACAAAATATTTTGCTCCTCCAATAGATACTTCCGGTGATTCCTATACATCAGAATGAATCAACTCCAGTATGTGTCTGCTTCTTGTAGTTACTTTGGCAAACTTTAATCTATGCTGCTTACTTGTCACACAGTGCTCACAAAATGGTAAGGTTAACATTTTGAGCCCTGGTAAGAGATTACGTTCTGCTAGAATTTTCAGGCCTCGTTCTGACATATGACCAAGTCTACAATGCCACATCATTGTTTCTTCTTCTTGACTAATTGCAACTGATGCATCTGCTTCTTGCAATGTATCTCCCAAAAGCATGTATAAATTAGTTGTGATCTTTTCTGCTTTTATCACCACCAAGTTGCCTTTAACCACTTTCAAGATTCCACCTTCAATGTGGATCTTACAATTGAGGTCATCCAATTGCCCAACGGACAATAGATTCTTTTTCAAGCCCTTCACATGTCATACTCCTTGAATTGTACGAACAGTACCATCATGCATTTTCAATTTGATAGTACCAATTCTAGCAATTTCTAGGGCATGATCATTTCCTATGAACACGGATCCTCCCGAGATTGATTCATAATTGTAAAACCAGTCTCGACATGGAGTCATGTGCCAGGTTGCACCTGAATCCAATATCCAACATTCATAGAGTTATCTTCCACCTCTAGAATTTATTACTGCTTCACTATATAAGATTTTACCATCATCTGAGGTACATGCAACACAACCTTGAGAGGTTGATGCTTCAGTATTCTTCCCTCCTCCACTCTTCTTGTTCCAACAATTTTTCTTCACGTGCCCTCTCTTGCCACAATTGTAGCATTTGAGGTTCTTCCTTCTCTGAGATTTTGATCTACCATGATTCTGAGTCCCACTGGAACCACGTTCCATTAATCTTCCTCTCATCATCGTTAATGCTTCTGCTTGTTTAGAATTTTCCAGTCTATCTTCCTTATTCTTTCGCTTGGATTCTTCTTCAAGAACTGCTCCAACAACATCATCAAAGGATAGACGACCGATAATGTTGTTGTTTGTTATATTGATGATAAGTTGATCATATGAATCTGGTAGACTTTGGAGTAGAAGCTTCGCACGTTCATTTTCTACTATGTTGAAATCTGCGGCTGTAAGTTGAGCAAACAGCGTATTCAGATTGTTGATGTGGTACGTTACTAATGTGGACTCACTCATTCGAAGAGTGTAGAGTTTCCTCTTCAAGAATATTCTAGTGTGAAGTGACTTGACCTCATACAACTTGATCAGTGTGTCCCAAATCTTTTTTGCAGTCTTCTTTTTTGCAACACTGGAAAACACTGAATCTGCCAAGCCAAGTGCAAATTGGCAACAGTATTGTTATCCGTTTCTCTCAATTTTTCTTTTGAAATATCTGCAAGTCTACCTTCAATTGCATCAAGACAATTGTCTTTCCTCAAAATTGCTCTTATCTTCAATTTCCACAAGGAGAAATTACTCCCATGAAATTTCTCTATCTTATACTTTGCTGCCATAATTTCTCTCTTAATTATACTGACTTATGTAACTTTCACTGTGAATAGTACTACCTACTGGAACAATAATAATGGTAGACTGTGAATAAGTACACACTATATCTACACTTTTACACTACCAAAATTGTATGCCCAGTAACAAGAATAATTCTTTTCTGATGTGGCAGATCAGACAATACTGAATAATTCTTTTCTGATGTGGCAGATCAAACAATACTTCAACCACAAAGCATACTAAGAATTTTCTCTAACACTATACTAATGTACACTACAGCAGAATAATATAAAACTTAGAAGTTCTGATACCACTGTTAGGACAAAATACTAGTATAATAACACACAACTAAAATAAAGATGAGAAAAATAAAAGCCAATAAAGATAATATAAAATTATCACAAAAGAAAAATTACATTACTCCTTTTCTATTAAAATTCACTCTTCAAAATAAAAAAAACTACTACTACTAAATACAAGTTAGTGTAGTACAAGAGTGAAAAGGAGAGAAGATTTGGGAATGATATGAATTGGTGGGCCCCTAGCCCTTATATAGACAAAGAAGGGGGGTCCTACCTTTGAAGTTCCCACCGATGTGGGACTTCTTACTTAACATATCATGTGGAGAGGCTATTTCCAATATTTGAACCCTTGACCTCCTAGTCACAATGTAGAGTAGTGTGGTTCCTCAAGACTTAATTTTGCAAATAAATTTCAAATAGATGAAGAAACAATGGAGACTTATGGTTGTGCTTACTTACAATATAGCGTTATAGCAAAAACCATAAAACTGTGGCATGCCATGCTGGAACCAAATCAAATTATCCCAGAATTTCACATCAAATGTTATTCCTATCTTATATATCTTGTAAAATATATTATTCGTGCTAAACAAGTAATATCATATTAAAGATATAAACAAATAATATAATCAATCTCCTTTGGCAGTACTTAATTATATGAAATTTTTTTATTGCTTTATTTGTTTATTACATATCGACTGTTTCTATTCCTCTAAAATACTTTTACCTGAGATAGACATAACTAATTACTCCGTTATCGCTAAAAAAATGACACCATTCTTATCTTCTTCTTTTTTTTCTTTAATTTCATTTCACGATTTGTGCAATTTAAATTACGCATAATGAATACACAGTTCAGTTGATGCAGGTTATTCTAACTTAAATAGGTGTCTAGCAACGTCTAAAACACAAAAGGGAAGTTTTTTCACCTAAAATTGTATTTTCTAGCATGGTTCAGATTAGTTAGATGACAATGTGTAGTATTTGGATACTGGTAGCACTGTACCAAAAAAAATAATTCACAATCTCCTCAATTTTAGCTAATACACTTTAATATATTTTCTTTTTTACATTTTAGCTAAACATAGAAAACTCGTGCAATATATTTAATAATGAAACACAAATTACAAAGAAACATTTAGGCTAATCTTTTTACTTTTTATCAAAAAGGCAATTTCAAAAAGATCAAGAAAACACAAAGGACTACAAGTGGAAGTGGAGTAACATACATCTAACTTGTAAGATGAACCATCAGCACAGTCTTCCATCCTTCTCAAGAACCAGGAACCATTATTACTCTCTATGTAAATTAAAAAAATCTGAAATTCTGAAATTTATTGCTCAGCTCTAATAGTTTCTCAACGAACCAACTAATAGATTTTAACAAAGTGCTTCCTTCTGCAAAATAATAATCATACCTCAGCGTCACTTTCTATTTTGCATGTAAGCTAATATTGAAAATTTGAGCAATTTACATGTTAATAATAAATAAATAAATATAAATAAACTTTTGATATTATATTTATGAAAAAAATCAAATAAAATAATAAAAAATAACTCAAAAAATTATATTACATGTGAGTAAAAAAATATAAACGATGCCTGGAGAGAAAAAAAAATAGCACAAAATCACTCACCAAATTAATCAAGGCATTACAACGTATCACTTTCTGAAATGGAGCTTCTCCCTACAAAATATTGAAGAAGGAAAGACATCATCTCCACTAGCATTATTGTGTGCAAGTTATTAATTGACATTAATTTTATATAGACAAATTTGCATGGTAAATCATAATTGATATTGGTGCAAACAGGCAATGAATGAAATGCTTTACCGTTTAGTCTTGAACTTGGAATCTCCTTTTCATTCGAGCCATAAAGACAATGAGTGTCACACATATCCAGTCATTCATGTTGTTGAAAAACTGAAAATAGGCATGTCTCCATGAACTTTTTATAATTAAAGTTCCACACACACCCCAGGATCCAACGCAAAATCCAAATCCGAGAGAGATGTAAAACCCAACGCTTATGAGTTCATCTTCTCCATCTTTTTCAGCACTGTTTTTGTCGGTGCTTACATTTGGCGAAACAGCATCCCCTGGGCAATGATTTGGGAGTGGTGGGCTACAAAGCCCAGTATTCCCTTTATATACAGAGGCATCAAAGGTTTGTAATTGAGTGCTTTGTAGAATTTTCCCTGACAAGTTGTTGAAAGACAAGTTCATGTAACTGATAAAAGTCAAATTTGAGAAGCTTGCGGGCATTCTACCGTAAAGATGGTTTCTTGACAAGTCAAGTGATTCCAACATTTTCATATGACCAATGTTGTAGGGAATAAATCCTGTGAGATTATTTCTTGAGAGATTCAAGCCAGCTAATGCTGCAAGTGTTGTTATTGTGGAATTTTCCCAGTAATATTATTTTCAGAGAGATCCAATACTTGAAGATATAAAAGATTACATAGACTCGTAGGTATGTTTCCATGGAATTTATTTGCCTCTAGACTCAACACCGTCAATTTGCGCAAGTTATGACCTATCCATGCTGGCAAGGTGCCTTGGAGATTGTTTTTCCCGAAATCAATTAGTCGTAATTCAGTACAAAAGGTCAAAGATGGAATTTCCCCAGAAAAGTTGTTACTATTTAAATTAATCGACACAATTTGTTGTAAAGTGCCAAATGACTTGGGTATGCTACCTGATAAATTATTTTTTGCCAGATTTAGAACACTTAATCTTTCAAATTTCCTCCCACAGTCTGAAAGTGTGCCCGACAGTAGGTTACTAGACAAGTCGAGAACAGTTAATCTCCTTGGTGACGTTGCGCAAAAAGAAGTAATGGACCCTGAGAACATATTATTCGAAAGAATCAGAGCATCTAGTTCTGGAAAAGGAGGCAATGGACCGGACAAATTGTTGAAACTAAAATCCCATGCATTATAGTATTTTCCCTTTGTACTTGGTAACAATAGTGGCAATGCTCCACTAATTTTGTTATGTGAAACATTCAAGTACAGCCATCTAGAAGGCAGGTTCCAAAACCAATTAGGAAATGAATCTGAAATGCCACTATTAGAGATCTGCAAGTACCTAAGTTTTCTTTGCTGTTTGAGCCATGTTGGAAATTTAGGACCCAAAATGCATGATGATGCAGCTAATTCATCGAGTTGGAATGGTGGAACCCAATTCGAATTAAAGTTGAATGCAAGTGCATTCTGAGCTACATTCAAATATTGCAATTGAGACAGATTTGATAGATGTGATTCTTTGACGACACCATTAAACTTGTTTGAGTTGAGATACAGTCTTTTAAGACTACAAAGTTGCCCAATAGTAGAAGGAAATGTCCCATTTAACTGATTATTGGAAAGATACAATTCCTCAAGCGAGACAAGTTTACTAATCTCAAGCAATGGTTGTGATCCACTTAACTGATTATTCATAAGATCAAGAAATGATAAGTTTGACGCATGCAATTCACGGATGACATCTACACCGTTCAACTTGTTTGAAGAGAGAAGTAATGTCCGAAGACTAGAAAGTTGCCAAACAGTAGAAGGAAGTGTCCCATTTAACTGATTATCGGAAAGATCCAATTCCTCTAGCGAGGCAAGTTTACTAATCTCAAACAACGGTTGTGATCCACTTAGTTGGTTATCACGGAGATCTAGATGTGATAGATTTGACAGATGCGCTTCACGAATGACATCGACACCATTCAACTCATTTGAAGAGAGAACCAACGTCCGAAGACTAGAAAGTTGCCAAACAATCGAAGGAAGTGTCCCATTCAATGAATTATTGGAAAGAACCAATTCCTCTAGCGAGACAAGTTTACTAACCGACTGTGGTAACGACCCAACAATATTGGCACCACGAAGTGATAATGCCTTCAAGGATGAAAGACATGAAAAATCAGGAAGTGGTGCACTGCTAAATGGGTTATTGCCGAGATACAAAACCTCTAATCCATATCGTGCAGAGCAAAACTGTCTTATGTAGTCAACGGGTTTGCCAGACAATTTGTTTTGATCCAATCGCAACTCTTTAAGCTGAATCAGAGTGTGAATATATTTTAGTATGTTACCCTCGAGCTCGTTACCCGAGAGATTTAGATATCGTAGATGGGAAAGCGAAACCATGTTTACAAATCCATCTGGAGTATTATGTTGCAAAGAGTTATAGGAGAGATCAAGATATGTGAGGACTTTGCTGGCTTTCAGAACCAGTGACAGAGTTGAAGAGTTTAACTGATTCTGTGAAAGACTGAGAGTTTTGAGAGAAGTGGAAGAATTAATATGGGGAATAGATTTAGGAATGACTTGACTAATCACACAATCATCTAAACGAAGCTCCAATAGAGATGGGATTTTGCTAATTGATGATAGCCAATTAGCACTTTGACTAAGATTCACATGCGAAAGATCGAGGTATTTCATAGTAGAAAGATGAGAAACCCACTCAAGGTCATTCGCAAGCAAATGATTACCGTGAAGGTCAAGAGTTTGCAAGTTGGAAAGGTTACCCAGAGTTGGAGGAATGTCACCAACCAGATCATTCCTCGCAAGATTCAACTCTATCAATTGAGCAAGTGAACCGATGCACTTTGGGATCACTCCTTCTACTTCATTAAGACTGATATCAAAGAAAGTGAGATGTTTCAGTTCACATATTGAAGAATCCATCTTACCTCTGAGCCAGGAATCCCATAGATTCAAGGTTGTTACATGAGCAGTTAAATTATCGCATGAAATTCCTTCCCATTCGCAGCAATCTTCACCTTTCCACGAGTCAAGAGAGTTCCGTTCATCAATGAAACCGTCTTTCAATTTAAGAAGAGCTTGCCTGTCCGTCTCAGCACACTTGTTTGCATGGGAACTTCCAACGTAGAAACAAATGCAGAGAAAGGTCACCAGAGAAAAGAGAGAGATCTTGCTGCTAAGCATGGTGATCATCTCAATCTCAAACTCTGAATGTTTTTGGATATTGAAACTGAGGAATGTGTAAGAAATGTGTGTAGTCAATTGTGAACTCAAAACCATGTTAGGTCCATAATTAATAGACAACAATTAAAACATTAAATTTCTCCGTGGACTTGTAGTCAACTGAGACATTCTATTACATAATTCCATAAAACAGATTTTGGACACCAAAAGTATTTCTTTGGTTACAGTAGCGCGTGTCCCATGCCATGGGTTTACAGGAGGATTCTTTGGTTACTTCTTTATTAAAAAAATGTGTTATTTATTTTTAATATTTAGAAAAAAATAAACATCTATTAATAATAAACAGAAATCAAATAAATACTATTTTGTGTTAATACAATAATCATAAGAATATTTTTTACATTCACACCGTGTAAGCATCAACATTTCCTGCAATAGTTTTGCAAGACCAAGAAAAAAATACATTTTAAACATAAAAAGCAATGAAGTAAATAAAATGTTATGTATTCTACTATAACCTATTGCAACGGATAATAAATAAATAATTATGTTTCATAGTTACAATTTTCCCCAAATAGAAAAGAAATTGAATCTACAAATTGATTAAACATCAGAAAAATTTTCTTTATAAACTACTACATTTGTTGTCTGGGTGTGAAAACGGGTTGGAAGGACAAGCATGATAAGTGACTGTCGTTGACTTATGTTAATAAAACACAAACTATGTTAGCCATTGACGAAAATCCCATGTGCATAGATGTCTCTTTATCAACCATGCTCAATAGTTCAAGTCATCTGAACGTAAAAATGGGTCAAGACTTGTGTGCTACAAAGAAATGTGTGGTGTACGTTAATTCAAAGTCAACTAAACTTGAGCAAAGGGCAAGACTTGTATGCAACAAACCAACTTTTGATAAATCACGTACTATAAGCTACTTCCCTTGACATGAATAAAAAGTCTTCCCAGTGTCACTTTGTGGTAAAGTACTTAAGTTTGTAGCGGCATATGTACGTACTACAATTATACAAGTGATGCCACATGAATTTTTGCCCCATTTTAAATGATTTAGTAAATGTTTACATCAAGAAAGATGCTAAATCTACCTTTAGCAATTCATATACTTGAGACAGAATTAAGGCAAATATATCATATATACATAATGACCCATTTGTGCACATAGACATTTTGAACACTACAAAAGATAATGCATGTCCCATCCTCTACACGTAAATAGCTTAGCTTCAATAATAATTTCGTTCCAAAAATAAGGAAAATATGTAACTTGACGAGAAAAACATATTTTTAGATTTAAAAAAAGAAATTAATTATAAATTAATTACAGTATATCACTATAAACCATTGATGGTTGTCCTTTGGAAATAGATGCCTCATCAACAATCTTGTTCAATATGTCAACTAAACTTATGTGAAGGGCAAGACTTTGAGCAAATAAAAAAATGTGTGGAGCACCACAGCTCCTAGTCAACTAAACTTGAATGTTGGGCAAGACTTGTGTGCAATAAGGTACTGTGTGATGTACCATTTTATGTTTCTCTTTTTATCTAGCATAAAGATAAAAATGCATTTCAAGTTCAAATTCAATAAAATTGATAGTTCATAACAGAATGAAGTAGTTTAGATTAATCAGAATTACCAATACAATATAATAAGAGTGATAAAAAAGGCAAAACCAATATAAGAAGTCGTGGAAGATCAAGCAATTGGTTCAGTATTCGATTTGAATTTTTCACCTTTTCTAAATGCAGATCAATCAAGATTGGTAAATAATAAGGATTCAATATGAATTTTTCACCTTTTCTAAATGTTTATCTTGTAAAGTAAAATTTGTACATTTTGGTTTTGTTCGAAGATTGCACTCTTAAATTGCACTCTTAATAACAAAGTCACACGTTTATCAAGCATAGAGACCACACCTTCATATTCAACAATTTGCTCCTCGATTTTATTTGGGGGAAGTGTAACATGCCCTTTGAACAATGGCATTAGGGATATGCAATGTAATGATTGATTTGTGTACATATTTGCAACACCTAAAGACACTGCAAAGTCTATTTTTTACACATGAAATGTTAGAATTTTTTTTTTATCCATTATGTAATTTCTATTATGCAATGACTATTATGAAATTACCTTTTCCCTTCGAGATCTTAAATTAAGTTGCCCTCACAACACAATATATGGTTCTCATACAATTAAGGATTTAAAGAGCACTAACCTAAATTTATTGTTCTTTGATGTTACTTCTCTCTTTGATATCGCTGATTCTTGCGTTTACTGTGAAAGTTCCTTGATATATTTGTCGTTGAATTAAGTTCCTTGATGTTCCTTTCTTGCGTTTACCGTGAACTCACTCAAAGACTCAAAGACCGTGAAAGTGAAAGAATGTTTGAGTAAAAGTGAAAGAATAGAAAATACCGTAACCTCTATTTAGTAACCGCTCTTTTATTTATATGAAGGGAGAATGGAGGGTTTCCTTATAATTGTATTTATAATTATACCTTCAATGACTCTATATTTTATATTTAACCATCATCACATTAAATCATTAATTAGAATCATGCTATAAGTTACATAGACCACTATAATAAAATTATTAAAATAATCTAAGACGAAAAACATGGTTTTGATCTTATAATTTGATTCAGGATATCTAAGATTTATGATTTGGTTATGCAACGGATTTGACATGGGGATTTTGCTATGATAACACATGACAACCAAAATTAAATAAAAAAAAAAGGGTAAAATATAAGGAGAATGGAAAGGGAAAATAGAATAGGAGCATCTACTGACAGTTGATTGGTAAACTTGAAAACTTACATAATTTTATAACTTCTTATATAATATGAAAATGATGAATCCAATCATTAGTTTAATAATTTTTATTAAGTAAATAAATTTTATAAAATTTTATAAAAAAATAAAATTAATAAGTACTTCATTGCATACTTCATTTTAAGGTGTCTTGTATTTTAAAATATAAGTAAATATCAAATTTCAGATGATATACTTATTAATGTTTAAATTATTTAAAATTTGATATAAATAATTATAAAGATAATATAACATGATTTAATAATTGAATTAGTTAATCTTATATTTTATGAGAAGTTACTAAGCAGTGCAATAATCTATGTTTGACACTCATGTCAATGGATATGAATTCATTTGAGTTTTAAAAAAATATTAAATTAATTTACTTTCTGAATCTAAGACCACAAGGTCCCAGAGCCATATTATTAGAGGATAACGTTAGGCTGAAATTCAATCCATTAGCAAATTGCATTCAAGAAAAGAAGAGAGAAATATACTGTTGAAAAAGAAAAATGAGACAAATCTCCTTGCTATAAAATATACATTGGAATATCCATGAAAAAATAGGCTGTGAAATTGAAATTTGCACGTCCTTAAAAATGATCTTAACACATGAATATTCTCGACAAAGCCAAATGCTTCCAAAGGCTTATTAAAGAGCTCATTTCTGACTTATATCAAGACTCTATCCTCTAGTCCTTGCTCCTCCCTTAGCTCTTAGCCTCATTGTTTCCTCATCAGCTGCATAGCAGTGGATCTCACCCCCCTCCTACTGGTATCAAGCTTGAGAGCCTTGGCTGAGGAACACCACCAAAATAATCCTTGTAAATCACTATTGTTGGGGTATCAACGCAATGCGAAAGACTGGATCGAATTTAATTGGAAATAAAGAGAAGTAAGAGAATAATGGAGACAAAATTTTAACGTGGGAAAAACTCTAAATCGGAGAAAAAAACCCACGGACAACGACGAGCAAAATAATTCCACTATGTAAAAGGGAGAGTACAAAAAGTCCTCTAAAATTATGAGGACAAAGAGTAATAAATTACTCTATTTTTTCTCTCAATAAATATTCTCTCAAAATGGAATAAGAGCTACAAAATAACACTCTTAAATTTCTTGTTCTGATCAGTGAATGATCGTTTTCTGGTGTGTCATTCAATCGTTCCTACACTGAGTATTTATAGGCAAAGTTTTGTGAAGATTTTCAATATTGCTACAGTAAATTACTGTAGCAATTTTGACAAAATATGATCGGTGCCTACCAAATGCAAAAATCAAAATCGGTGCCTAACTTTGCAGGAAGGAACGAAAACTGAGACACCCTTTTTGACTAACAATCTCCACCTTGGATCAGTTTTGATAAATTGCTCAACGTCATTTTTTCCCGAAGGGTGTTCAAGTGCTGTAGAGACCAACCAAGTCCAAAAAATGTTGGAACTTGGCCTTTGGAAGAGGCTTAGTAAGCATATCAGCTGGATTCTCAGATGTATGAATCTTCTGAACAACGACTTCACCCTTAGCAACAATTTCTCAGATAAAATGATGTCTCACATCAATATGTTTTGTCCTGTCATGGTAGCGGTTATTCTTGGTCAAGTAAATAGCACTCTGACTATCACAAAACACAGTAAGAACATCCTGTGTAAGACCAAGTTCATTAATCAGACCTTTAAGCCAAAGAGCCTCTTTCACACCCTCTGTTGCTACAACATATTCAGCTTTAGTCGTAGATAATGATGGAAGAGACTGAAGCTGAGCTTTCCAACTAATAGCACAGTTACAGAGAGTAAATATGTAACTAGAAAGAGATCTTCTTTTGTCAAGATCGCCACCATTATCTAAATCAACAAAACCTGTAACTTTAGTTGTTGCATGATTTCTATTGAATACCAAGCCAATATCATAAGTACCTTTGAGATACCGAAAAATCCACTTTACACCACTCCAATGATCCTTTCCAGGATTATGCATATACCGACTCACCATGTTAACGGCATATGCTAAATCAGGTCTAGTGCATACCATAGCATACATAAGACTGCCAACAGCACTAGCATAAGGAACGCGTGACATACACTCCATGTCTTCCTCTGTCTCAGGACAAAGGTCAGATGATAACTTGAAATGTGCAGCAAGTGGAGTAGAAACAGGTTTGCAATTAGACATATTAAACCTGTCAAGCAC